GATAATACCATCACAACACGATTGTTCTTGAGTTTCATATGGATGTATGTGTATTTTTTGATCACATTTATCAATAGCCCTAATAACCACTAGATAATACCATCACAACACGATTGTTCTTGAGTTTCATATGGATGTATTTGTATTTTTTATCATATTTATCAATATCCCTAATAACCACTAGATAATACCATCACAACACGATTGTTCTTGAGTTTCATATGGATGTATTTGTATTTTGTTATCACATTTATCAATAGCCCTAATAACCACTAGATAATACCATCACAGCACGATTGTTCTTGAGTTTCATATGGATGTATTTGTATTTTTTGATCATATTTATCAATATCCCTAATAACCACTAGATAATACCATCACAACACGATTGTTCTTGAGTTTCATATGGATGTATGTGTATTTTTTGATCACATTTATCAATAGCCCTAATAACCACTAGATGATAAGTACCATCACAACACAGTTGATCCTTAGTTATAGTACTTATTAAGTTTCATTGAAGTAGCCAGATATGGTCATCGCAAACTTTCACATTTCTTGTTTTTCATGATGTTAAATAATGCTGTAGTAGCAAGGCTCTGTATTTACATATTTAAATACTTGATACAGGAATAAGTTTATTGTTTTAGTTTTTCATTGACTGTGGGTAAGGCTCAGTAACGTAATACTTTAGCACTTACTTACCGTAGCTACAGATGTGTATATAAGAAAATAATCGGGTTTTGTGGATTTAGGTACGATAATGCTAAATCTAAATAGAAGTGTAAACAGACACTCGAGAGATCATGACTTCTTCAAGTTTTCCGATATGAAATATCGTGTTACTGTCGCTAGGGGTAAATAAAAAGATCGTTTATAGTTATCCTAGTGCTTCTAGTTGAAAACTGAAATATATCAAAGCTCAGACTGGAGCAAAAAATTGTCGTGTCTGATTATTTTGACGTTACACTGAATAATAGTTCTTTTACGACATCACGATGTGACTGTTTGTTATAAGTGCAAAGCTGTACAATATGTTCACCAGGGGTAATCGAACCTCGAATATTAGCTTTATAAGATATCTAGTTTATCACTGGGATACATAGTACAACTGTTAATCTTTTATTGACAACGGTCTTTTTTGACCTAATATGTGTTTCCTGTACGAAAAATATATAGTCGTACTTCAAATACACTTTTTTGTAACGAAACCTTTTGCTCAACTCCAGAGATCATTAGTGGCCAGTTTCCAGATCCTTACTGGAAATACTAATTATGTCAATCTATGATATACCAAGTCTTGTGACGTAAAACTGAAGCTGGCGAAGTATGATTTATCATTAAATAATGAATCACATTAAATACTAATTATATCAGTCTATGATATACCAAGTAAAGTTGAAGCTGGCGAAGTATGATTTATCACCAAATAATGAATCACATTAAATACTAATTATATCAATCTATGAGATACCAAGTGTTGTGACGTAAAACTGAAGCTGG